CAACAAAGCTTGTCTCAAAAAACAAAACAAAAAAAAATATAGTAATTGTGGGGGCCCACAGAAGTGGATCCATTCCACTTTGACTAAAGGTCAGAGAATTTAAGCCTATTCTTGCTCCTTTAAAGTTATCTTCAGGAGATTTGACTTAAGGTGTACCTACTAACAAGGAAGATTTTTGTTTTGTTTGTTTGTTTGTTGAGACGGGGTTTGTTTGTTGTTGAGACAGGGTTTCTCTACACCTCGGGAGATTTAACTTAAGGTGTGGCTACTAACAGACTTCTTGACCTATGGGATGGTTACTTGGTGTTTTGCATTTCAAGATGGTAAGTACTTTGTTCCTTGTCACAATAAAAAAGTCTTTTGCTTTTTTCTTTTTTGGGGAGGGGTTGAGGTATTTAAAGACCATAAGAAATAAATGTGGGCCGGGTGGTGGTGGTGCACACCTTAAAACCCAGCACTTGGGAGGTAGAGGCGGATGGCCTGAGTTCTTGGCCGGCCTGGTCTACGAACAAGTTCCAGCACAGGCTCCAAAGCTATAGGGAAACTTTGTTTCAAAGAGAAAGAAAGAAAGAAAGAAAGAAAGAAAGAAAGAAAGAAAGAAAGAAAGGAGGGAGGGAGGGAGGGAGGGAGGGAGGGAGGGAGGGAGGGAGGAGGGAGGGAGGGAGGAAGGAAAGAGAGAAACAAACAAGCATGGGCATTCAATATTCACTGGATTGTCCTCCAAGGACTATCCTAGGTCTCTGTATTTCTTTTGTATCTCTGTCTATTCTGCCTAACATTTCTAACCCACTTACCCTTACCCTGGAACACATGACCCGTCGTGGCTGGACCCCAACAGATGTCACCCCAACATGTGGCTATGACAAATAATAATGGTTCGAATACCAATTTATTCTAAACTACTGAAGCCAAATTCCATAGGATATAGTTCAGTTCTCTTGCCCTTCTCCTTTCATTATATTTAATTGTATATTATCTAAAATTAAAATACATATTTCTTTTAGGCTCATTATTTCTCACCCCTAATCAACATTCCCAAGTACCTTAAAGCTAATCTCAACCAAGATAGGCAAAGACTCCTCCACTGACCTAGTCCTCCACCCTACTCGCCTTCCCCAAGAAGACAGTTTTTCTTCTGTTCCCTGGGCTGTGGTGGACGGAGGTGGTGGGGAAGCAGTAGCAGGTCTAAAGCAGCACGAGTGTTTCCATTCTTGAAAGCATCATCGTGAGCATGCGCAAACATCTCCCTGGGAAAGACACAACTCCGGCAGCAATCTGGCTTCACACAGATCCTGGCCAGCATGTGAAGAAGACACCTGTTTCTGAAAAGCCACTACTGTTTCAAATAACCAGCTTCTTAATGGTCTTGACTTGGGCACATTCCAGGAACTATTCATGAGGTGAGTAGACTATTTTCAGTCTTTTTGGGAACAACCATGTTCTCCCATTTCTCTTTTTTTTTAAAAAAGATATTTATTTATTTATTTATTATATATACAGTATTCTGTCTGCTTGTATGCCTGCAGGCCAGAAGAGGGCACCAGACCTCATTACAGATGGTTATGAGCCACCATGTGGTTGCTGGGAATTGAACTCAGGACCTTTGGAAGAGGAGGCAATGCTCTTAACTGCTGAGCCATCTCTCCAGCCCCCTTCCATTTATTTTTATCCTTTTGGAAGCCATGGCCTGGGAGACCTGTGTATCCATCTGTGTTAACAATGAACCTGTCCCTTCAGTCCCTTCATCTTTGTTCCCTCTTCCCTGGGACCCAAGCTCTGCACATCCTATCATCCAGATCACCCTTTATAAACAGGATTCTTCTATCTTCCTCAAAGATTATAAGTACTGTGTTTCATAACTATATCGGGTAAGCTGGGTCAGGTTAGCTACTGTGACAGTTAACTAATTCATCACTGACCAAATGAAGATGAAAACAGTACTTAGCTCACTACTATCAAAAATAGACTTAGTGATTTGGAAACTCAAGAGACTAGGGATGGTAGGGAGGCAGAGGCAGGTGGATCTCTGTGAGTTTGGGGCCAGCCTGGTCTACAAGAGCTAGTTCCAGGACAGGCTCCAAAGCTAAAGAGAAACCCTGTCTTGTAACACCCCACCCCACCCCCCAAAAAAGAGGAGGTGGGGAGGAAGAGACTCATCATTGCTTCACCTTTTACCTAGTTCTTAAAGTTGTTCTTTTCTGGGGCTTAGGCACTGTACTTCTTTTGAAAATTATTGTATTTAGAAACACTTGCTATTTTATCAATGATAACCTACGCGTCCATCTTTAGGAAGAACTCAATAAACAAAAACAAACGAGAAATAAAAAAACAAATCTGTAATCCCAGCTATTCGCTCAGAAACAGCAGCGGTAGGGTGGAAATAAGAGACCTACAAAGGCGACGTAGCTAGACGCGTCTCAATCTGGTATTCAAAGAGGGGAGGGTGATGTAACACACTAGGCAGAGTATTCGCTAGTGTGCCTGAGGCCCTGGACCTGTTTACAAATGCTGGGGGTGGGGGTGGGGATGAGGCAGTGTACTTTCCTGTAATCAATGTGCACCTTGATTTAGGACAGTTTCACTGCAGCACAGTTCCTGAGTCTCTTGCCCGAGTTTTCCAGAGTGTCATGATTACAAGCAAGCACCTGTGTGCACAGTTCTAAATGTAATCGTTTTGTATGAAAGAAAAATAAAAGAATTATGAGAACCCCCAATATACTTGTGTCTTTTTCCCCCACAAAATTCTCATTGATCCAAAGAGTCTTTTATTGTTGATGTTTAGAGTAGCTTTTTTTTGAGACATTATATAGCCTTACTATATAAACCAGGTTGGCTTCGAATTTACAGAGATCCCCTTGTCTCTGCCTCCCTGAGAACCTGCATGTTTTATAAAGTCAAGCCAGAACAACTTTTTATAAGTTAATAAAAATACTGGAGGATTTAGGGTTAAGAAATTAAGTACTAGGGTTTTCTTCAGGACATCTATTCCATTACTTCAAACACCAGTGTATAAATATATTATATTAGTTATACATATAACTAATATTTTATAGTATATACTAGTGATATTTATGATTAGATATCAGTATACAATATCGTTTATAAATGCTAGCGTTATATATATTTGTATATATATTATATTTATATAATTTTTTTAGAAACGGACATTATTAAAATATTTTTGCTATCTTTATAGTCAGCAGACATAATTACCTGTGAAAGCCAATAAAATGGCGAAATCTGTCAGCTTAAACACTGGTGAGGGCAAAGGGCAAAGCTATCCTTTTCAATAAATCTCGAGATTCACAAGACTGATAATAATCTCCACATAGAAGACCAATATTTTTGAGAATTACTTCCATGGTCAAGAGAAATTACTTCCACGGTCAAGAGTTGTACATAAAATGGAACGTGTTAGATGGGCGGTGGTGGTGCACGCCTGTGATCCCAGCACTTGGGAGGCAGAGGCAGGTGGATCTCTGTGAGTTCAAGGCCAGACTGGTCTACAGCTTGAGTTCCAGGACAGCCAGGGTCACACAGAGAAACCTTTTTTTTTTTTTCGAAAAAACAAAACAAAAAAAATCGAGCACTTTGGAAAAAAAACAACAACCCTGTTTTCCACGAAATCCTAGATATTGAGACTCAAGAGTTAGGGATTTGTAAAAGGTAACTCTGTGTAAGGCAAAGGGAAGCGGTCTACAGATATAATAAGAGGGGCATTTCAACCTAGGGGGCACGTTAATCTAAATATCTGTTTTGCCTAGCAAATGTTTTCGCCTCTTCAAGGCTTCCTTGGACTTCAGGAAGCTAAGGACTCAGCCGCCACCTGGCGACGCCAGGGACAGGTAGAGTCCCAGCCGCAGCAATTAGCAGGGCGGAGGCGTCTCCTTTAAGAAGCTGACTCACGTGGATGCTGTGTTGTGTGCGCTCAGCTGGGATGGGGGGCGGGTCCTCAGGCTCACCACATTGGCCACCTTGGCCGAGGAGGCCGAGTTAGGCTCCTTGATTGGCTGTAAGAATGCGAAGTGTCGAATTAGGGGCGGGACGAGCGGCGATGAGCCCGCCCATCCTCTGCGGCTACGGGGCGGGGTGGGTGGCTGAGTGTTGGGGAGCAGGAGTGGGGGGAGGGTGAGCCAGGGGAGGGGCGGGGCGCGACGGAAGGGGCAGAGTGCCAGGGCGAGGGGCGGAGCCTAGACATGAAGAGGGCTGTGGGCCAACCGGGAGAGCCGCCTGAAGGGAGGGCGGGGCCACGCCGGGTGATTGACGCCGAGGCCCGACCGGGGAGAGGCGGGGCCAAGGCCTGACTAAACCTGAAGACTTGGAGGCCGAGGGGCTTCGACCCAGCTGAGAAACGAAGAGCCGCTGGCAGCGCCGATCTCCCCAGCGTGCAGGTGAGTACGGCGGCAGGGGCTGAGCTCGAAGTCGGCGGAGACCCGGAGCCCTCGGGCCGGCGGCTTCGAAGCCTTCGGGGAGCGGCCCGGGGCGGGGGCCCAGGCAGGAAGTGCCTCTTCCCCCTCGCCACTCGTCCGGGGTCCCGGCGCGGCCACCAGGGCCCGTAGGGACCGGAGAGCCGCGGGCCGGGCCGTCGCTCTTTGTGAGGCCGTGGCGCGGCGGCCCCCGTTGGCCCGCCCCCGCCGCGCAGCCGAGCGCCCCCGCGAGCCCGCAACAGACGCGACCCCTTGGCGACCCGCGGCCCCCACCCGCCTCCCCGCCACCCTCGGGGACCGACGCCGCGGCCGCCGCTCCGCGGACAGCTGGCCCGGTGACACCCCCACTTCCTCGGCCGCCCCGCCCCCACGGCTGCCGTCCCCGCCGCCGCAGCGTCGGGGGCGCGCCCGGGCTCCGCTCCGGGTCGGCCCGCGGGCCCGCGCTCCAGGGCCGCGCTCGCATCCAGCCCGCTGCGGAGAGGCCGGACTCGCGCCCCGGTGCCACGGCTGCGGCTCCTGCCCGCTAAGGTGTTAGCCCTCTACCATCCTGCCCTCGGGTCCCTTCGCACTCGGGGCGTGGGGACACGGCTGGGGGAGCCCGCGCCCGCCCAGCTGTTCCGCCTGTGTTTGTTGTGCCGAGGAGGCCCCGCCGCCGCCGCGCTCTCCGCCTTGCGCCAGGCGATTGGCTGGCGGGCATCACGTGGGCGCGATCAGCTGGGCCGGCTGCGGGCGGTCGGCCTGGCGGGGACCCCAAAGCTGGCTGGGGAGCCCACCTGGAGGCTCCTCCCTGCTGGCGGAGATAGGCACACGCCTGCGCACCCCTTGATTTCACGCTGCTGGGCAGGTAGGTAGGACGGCGGAGTATTGCCAGCGGGAGTGGGACGCCGCAGTAGTACAAAGGTCTGGTTTATCCTGACGCCAACTAATCTCCCTTTGGAGTGGCAGTCAGGGAAGGTGTGCAGCTCATTTATTTTTAAACTTTTTTTCTGTTTACAGAGCCCTGTTGGAAAGCTGAGGATTTTTATTTCAGGTGCCCTCTGACAGATGGAAAAATTTCGAAGTAACCACAGTCTTAACCTTGCTTTTGGAAAATAAGTGAACTTGCTGGTGAAGTAGCAGGCACCATAGGAAGCCCGTCAGACAGTTTTGCAAGCCACACCGGCAGGGTTTGCTGCTGCCTTCCAGCATAGAGGAAGTCAAAGTCTTTCAGTGTTTCTCGGGTGCATATTTGTGGCAGATGTGAGATGCTTTGATATATTCTTTTGCTAAGAATTAGTCTCATAGTGTATTAGGTAAGAAGGAGATTCCAGAAAATGTGAACTCTTCTGTCTGGAAGCTACCAATTTAGTAAAAGGTTACAGACCGATGACTTGAGAAAAACCACGACGCTAAATGTTGGGATGTTATGAAATGAGTGTTACAAAAGTTCAAAGATGAGACAGTGAGACACCAGGAGGAGGAAGTCGCAAGTATTCTGAAGAGAATGACATTAGGCCTAGAAAATGAAAAGCCAGTGGGTTATGTTGGCCACATGGGTTTAGGAAAAACGGCCTGGAACTTTTACAAATGCAGGAAGATGGAGCATGTTCGATTTGACGGACATATGTGTGTGTGTAGTGAAGCACAAGGTATTTTGTACTCTGGAAGGACTAATGCCCTTGTTTTTCGGTAGAGTCCTATACTCCGAAGGCCAGGCTGGCCTTAAACTCTTGGCAACCCTCCCTTATTGTCCTTGGTGCTAGGATTCCAGGTGTGCCGGTTAATGCCCGCTTCATGCCCTCATGTGGCCTGTTCAGTACAGATTTTCCCCTTAGTTTATGTATAAAAACCATCTTATCTCTCGGAAAGGCACACAGTGAAATTCATTCAATTTGTAAGGGAAACCAAATTGGATTTTTAACAGTGACTTTTCTAAGCACACTTGGTTAATGTATGTGGCTTCCTCTAAAAGAACATCTACTGGAACTTTTCCTGGTCTCATTTGTCTTCTCTGTCAACTAAGGCTATTTAAAAACAAAATGTTAAAAAAAAAAAAAAGAGGGTGGTGATAAGACCCTGCAGGTAAAAGTGCTTGATGAAAGTCTGACGGCCTTACTTTTAGTTCAGGGACCCACAGGGTAGAGAGAACCTCTTCTACAAAGCTGTCCTGGTCTCCATGTGCCCCACACAATTAACTAAGTCCAATAAAAATGTCTAAATTTAATAAGGAAGTGAGACCTACTCTACACCCTATGAAAAAGCCTATGGGATGTGAAACTACTACTAAATATACATGAGATGTGAAGGTAGTCCTAAGTGTATTTATCTAGCCTCCTTTGTTTTGGAGTGCTTTGGTAGTTATGTAACTATGTAAATTAATACTATTTCCCTGATAATGCCGTGTGGTAACAAATGTGTAATTTGGGAACTGTTAGCTAGACATGAATTTGCTATTTGGCACTTCACTCTAGAAAGCAAACTATATTGTAGCCATCCAGCAAGAAGCTTTCAGTTTTGCATCACAACAAACAAGGGGATCATGTTTGTCTTGCCAAGTTGTTTTTGGGGAGATAACCAGCTCAGATTATTTGCTGACTCATGACTAGCTGCTGAGTTATGTGACTGGTCTTATTTTCTAATGACTAAGCAGTATTCTAGAAATACAGTCAGTATGGAAATTGTTTAACAAAACAAAATAAGGCATTATCTTATGTGAGAAGATCAGACATTTACTTCCTGTCAAATGAAGACCCAGTCCCACAAGCAGGACATCATTTGGCCCAGCAGAGTGACTTGATACTGTTCTGTAAGAGGATGGCATGGCTTTCTTATGTCATTGATGCTTGACTCTTGCTAACCAAGTACAAAAGTAAGAACAATTGGGCTGGGGATGTGTTTTCCTAACATACACATGGTATTTGGTTTGATTTCCAGTATTACAAAAAGGAAAAAATAGATTTTCTAGATTGAATTGTTGTTTCACCATGTAACTTTTAAGTATAATATTGTAAAAAATTGCTATGAAAATAGTTAATGAAACTGAAATAGCATCACATGTTTATTACAGTATTAATAATTATTCTAGCCATTAAAAGTTTTATGGCTTTTGTCTTTCCTTTGTTCTAGAGAGAAGAGACTGAAAGCCAAATAGACACTCATTTATTCACGTGAATCCATTTTAGCAGAATCAAAAACAAACTACTTCTCAAGGGGGCAGATTTTTGTAACTTCCCATACTGGAACCCTGTGTACCAGCCTCCTTATATGCACTTCTCTTTCCCCATCTGGTGCAATGAAAAAACCCCTCTGCTCTGTCCAGAGGGGGTGGGAACACTGTGATGGGTGATTGAAAATGCCCCAAAGTTACAATTCCTGAACTAAGGAATAGTCTTTGTGAAGAGGACATTTTTGCAAACAGATGCCAATTGTTCTCCCTGGTATTTTTAGAGCTAGGAAGTGGTATCTCCTTAGGCTAAATCCATTTGCCAGGATTGAGACCACACTGGATTATTAATTATAGGGAGGGCAGGTACCTATTTTAAGACTAAAGTTGAGACACTAAGAACTTGACATCTTAGCTTTCGTCCAGTTTATAATTTCTGTTACCTTGGTATTTAACGTGGCTGTAATTAACAGGAGGTGAGGCTGTTACTTGCTACTGTTTCGTGTCAGTTCTGAACCCTGCTTTCGCATCTGTGGTGGGGCAGAGTTGAAATGGGATATGTAGTCTACTCTGATGACCTTTATTTAGCACTCACTGTACAGGACCCTGTTCTCAGGATATAGTATCTCCATTTAGATACTTTGCTGTTGCCTTTTACATAGGAAACAGGGTAATTTGTTAAAGTTTACAAGGGTATTGAGCGAGGGGGGAGCTGAAATATACAAACAGCTCCTGTCTTTAGAGTTTAAGTAATCTAAGCCATGCTGTATAAGTCTTTGTGGGTGAAGCGTGGAGGCAGCAGCTGGATATATATTATTAATTTGAATGATCTTCATATAGTTGATCTTTAGTATGCTAAAGTGGTTATGGGAAGCTAAGAATTTTTGTCTTTGAGACTGGGACTCTCACTGGCTGGTTCTAAACTTTAGTACCCTGCTCAGTCTTCTGAATGCTGAGATTACAGGCCTGAACCATTGTGCCCAACTCAGAATGCCAATGATTTTAGCCAGAAAATCCATGAAGAAAATGGGAATGGATTTGAAAGCTACTGCTACCGATCTTTAGACCTGACTCCAGCTAAGTTTCTGTTTCTGAGGATTGCAAGCCACCAGTTTGTACAGTCACCGTGTAAACTCTGCTGGTAGCTAGAGAGCAGTTAAGTATAAACAGTGGACCTGGAGAGATGGCTCAGCGGTTAAGAGTACTGCCTGCTCTTCCAAAGGTCCTGAGTTCAATTCCTAACAGCCACATGGTGTCTCACAGCCATTTGTAATGAGATCTGTTGCCCTCTTCTGGCTTGCAGAATACTGTATACATAATAAATAAGTAGATCTTTAAGAAATGTATAAACAAAGGAGTGTGGCTATGTATCAAAGAAACTATCACCACTAAAATATTTGATGTTTTCTTAATGCTTTAAAAGAATACTTTAGATTGTGGGCAGTTAAATTAGAGGTGAGCTAGATTTAGCCAGCTGACTCTGGTTTGCTGACCCCTGTGTTTTTGACTTGGGTTTTATTTTATTCTGTGTGCATGAATTTTTTGCCTGCATGTAGTCTGTGCCCTAGTTTTTGTGTCTGGTGCAGGTGTAGGCCATAGAGGGCATCATATACCCTGGAACTGGAGTTAGAGATGTTTGTAAGTCCAAATATGGGTGCTGGAAATTGAACCCAGGTCCCCTGCGGGAGTGGCCAGTGCTCTTAACTGCTAAGTCAGAACAAACCAACAGTGAGATCCCACACTTTAAAGGAGCCAAACAAGTTTTTTAGATAATTGTTTTTGACCTGTAACTAGGGGTTTATATGAACCCACCGTGTCCAATTTTTAAAATCATTCCTTTCTAGGACATTGTGTCATAGGCTCCTGAAAGAAAAGTATTTTTCTTTTTTAAGCTTACAGATACATTGCATAATTAAAATTTTTTTTTTTTTTTGGTTTTTCGAGACAGGGTTTCTCTGTGGTTTTGGAGCCTGTTCTGGAACTAGCTCTTGTAGACCAGGCTGGTCTCGAACTCACAGAGATCCGCCTGCCTCTGCCTCCCGAGTGCTGGGATTAAAGGCGTGCGCCAACACCGCCGGGCTAAAAAAATTTTTTTAAGATGGAGATCCTAAGATGTAATTACTTAACCAGAATCTTCTGTTGCAAATGGAAGTTAGGGATTCTATGGTAAGGATGCTCTTTGGGAGAAGAAATTGAAGATAATCAATACAATACCTGAGTTGTCTATGAACTTCACTGTATTTTTATTCTGGTCTCACTGCTTCAGATAATAGCAGACAAACTGTTAAACAACCAACTTTGATACTTGAAACTATGCAAAAATACTGCCAAAAGGGCCTTACACTTATGTGCGTATGACTTAATATTGTACTGGTTTAGCTTGGAGTGTTGCAGTAGACAAAATCATAAACAGCTTATCCTTACTCTTAACTGAGCTTTCCTTTCAGCCGTAAGTGTAATTTCAGCACAGAAAAGTGTCAAATGATGTGTTTTCTGCAGTGGGACAGTAAGGTGCTGTGACAACTGAAGAGCTCGGAGATTCTGTTAAACCAACCAAAACAGTTAGTGTGTAGGAAATACTTTAAGTGTGAAAAATAATCCCTAGAGGCTAGAAGAAGGGACCAGCTGCAGACCACTTCATGAGGATTTTAGGAGGCAGAGCCAGTTTGTGGGGATGATGATACAACTCCATAAACTTCCAA